GTTTGTCTAAATCCATAGAATGTACAACACCCAGAGTGAACCCAGATGTAAACTATGGACTTTGGGTGATGATGGTGTTTTGGTTCATCAGTTGTAATTAATGTACCACTCTGGTGGTGGATGTTGATAATGGGAGAGGCTGTGCATGTCTGTGGGCAGAGGATATATGGGAAATCTCTACTCCTTTCTCCCAATTTGCTGTGAACCTAAAACTGCTCTAAATATAAAATCTTAGGAAAAAAAGAATATCTTTAGCCATTTTGATCACACATTTGGGAAAAGCACCATGGAACAGGGATTGTATTTAGGTATCGAATAGGAAGGGAGCTAATTATAGCCTCCTGCTTTGGTCTTGTTTCCCTAGAGCCATGTTATTTAAGAGATACAGAGACAAATAAGCAAGAAGAATGATTTGTGACATTTTACAACCTAGATCACGCCAAACCGTATTCTGTTATACTACCAATTTCCTTGGCATCGTTATTTTAAAACAAGCTCTTAATAATCATTCAAATATTCCTTTTTTGTATTTGGTTTCCAATTTCATTATTTCAGAATCTGAAAATGCTCGACTTAGTAAGGGAATTGTCTTTTTTTAAATAAGTACTTTTAATATGCAAGCATCATAGGAAAAAGACAGCATGACAAACTGAGTTACTAGGCAGTGAATACTTCTAAAATGATTTGCCTTCAGTCAAAACCCAATTGCTAAAATAAATCATTTAGAAACTGTTTTAATACTTAAATTCTATATCCTGATGGGAGCACAAACTGTGCATCTTCCATTCTCCCTAGCAAATCAGCATCTTCAAAAGATTAAGTTACTCGTTTATTTATAGATGCATTCTTTTTATGAAGGACATACTGATATTTACAGTATTTCATTTACATTTTGGAGTCATCAACAGCATAGAGTATTTTTCACAAGACAGTCTTCTTTGGGGTTATAATTTCCCTGTACTTAATTCTCACAAAACCCTCCAAACCAGCCAAATTTTATGGCTGGTTTGCATAAGAAGTCTCTAAGATATTTGGCATTCGGCCTAGAGTTATTATCTTTTTTTGATTCGTATTGCCTCCTGATTGGAATAAGTATGTGACTGCTCCTATAGGGCCAAATAATCAGTTTCATTGTTCCTTCCAAGGATGTTATTAGATTGGGTTTATTTACAGAAGGCTGTGAGAAATAATATTTGGGTTTTGTTTTAATACCCCATTATTAATAAAAAAAATTGTTCAGTGGTTCCTTTCATGATAGTTCACCCTTTCCATGGTTCATATTTGGAAGGTACCTCAGGTGGAATGTGACTAAGCGCTCTAAGAAAAGTAACTGATTGATACCATGGATCTCTTCTGTTTGGCTTTCATCAATGATCAATGCCATACAAATGATGGGGAGTTGGACAAGAGTCACTGAATTTTTGAGATGAAGATTTTATCTAGTCCGGTGTCTTCCTTTTTACCGATGTGGAAACTAATAGCCAGAGTAGTTAAGTAATTTTCCCAGATTCATATTCTTTATCCCTTCTGACATCAAGAACCTATTCTTTTTATGTTAGTGCCTCCTTTAAGAGCCTTGCTTTTAGAACTGTAACATGCTTTTTGGTTAAAATTGTTTGTCTCTTAACTATGGCAGGTAGATAGGCAGTCATTTGGTAGAGCTTTTGATTTTTGTCAGAGCCACTCCAATCAGCAAAACCTCAATTCTTGCCCCTTGTATCTTTGCCTGTGCTTTAGCGGGCAGCGGACGGAGGTAACCTGAGAGCCTGTGTTACTGCAGTTTGCAAGTTCTAGTGAAGAGTGCTTCAGAACCTGATAGGCATGATTTTACCTTAAGTAATTCAGGTATTGTTTCTTATAGAATTAAAAAAAAATGGATAATAGATAAACTTTTAATTATTATGAACCATTCTTTTAGTTTTATTTATATGTGTATATATATATATACACATATATTTATATGTGTATATATATATATATATATATATATATATATACACACATACCTACACACATTCACAGAGAGGGAGAGACTGTCTCATTTAATTTTAAAATAATGAAAAACAATGGTTAAGTGAAATATGAAACTGATACTATCTCTAGACTTTTTGTTTCAAAATAGATTAGTAGCTATTTTATACTTTATATTTTATATTTAAACATTTTTGGTAGGCATCTTATCAGAATATTGTCTCATAACATCAGGTATTATTTTATAATATCACCTCGCCCTTACCTCCTTCACCAGCCCCTGACTACGTCCACTGTGAGGTGCCATCCTTCTGCCAGAACTAATTCCTGTGTCTCCTCTATCTAGAGAAAGCTCTTTATCTTGTCATTACTTGAGGTGGGTAAAATAAGTGTCTCATATCTAGTCCTGGCAGGCCTACAGGAAAACTTAGGCACTGTATCCATGGCAATTGAAGGGAAACTTTTTAATTTTAATTTTTTAAAGTAGCCATTTAATTCTTTGATATAAAAATCTACCTGTCAGTGAATTCAGTGATGTGTTATTAGGTAGACTGTAATTTAAAACTGATATTTAACATTATAAAGAGAGGCGCTTTGGCAAGAGTTTCATGTTGTATTTGTAGAAATCTGGGCACCAAGAGAGCTGGCACTGGTTAAAATGTTTTATAAGCCCTATTTGCATTTTAATTATTCCTGTATGAAACTTGAGGTCTCTTTATTATTTTTGATAATATATTTTTTTGATCACCCTATGTAAATAGTGCCTTAAATGAAAGAATGTTTTCACTAATTGTATCCCTTTGAACACACAATATATTAGCTTTGTAACTGTATGTAAGGGAAGCAATTTTTGAATTCTTCTGTATTCATAACTGGACCTATCCATTAGATAATTCTAATTTACTAGGTAATTCTAGTATTACCTTCCTAAGGTAATATTTTCTTTTTTGATATTATCAAAGGGTTTGGGGGGAAAGAGTTCCCTTTCCTTTTCTAAAGATTGATGTCTAAGACGTGACTTGAAGGGAGTTACTTTTACCATCTCATTGACTCAGAGGAGAAGCCTGAATTGACAGTAAAGGCACCTATCCAATTCTTATGAAGCTTTCATTGCCAAACAGGTAAGGTTAGGACTTTCATCTAATCTTTCTGTGTGCAATAGGAGCAGCAAGACCGCTACCTCTACAACCACACAGAGTGGGGGAAGGAATTCCCTAAAAAATAAGAAAAAGGTAAATTGGGCTGCTGAGTAGAATAACTATAGCTACTACAGTGCTGTCCAATACGTATGCATTATACCATTATAATACTTTTCTTTTAAAATCTAATTACAAAACAATTATATATGCTTTACTTCCCATAATTTCATTTTGCATATCCTAACTGTATATTTTCCCAGTTTGTTTTTCCAAAGACTTCTTGAGCATCAGAAATATGTTTAAAAAAATACAAAAAAACACCCAAATTGAGAAGGGACATACTTTAAAGAAAGGTTAATGTACTCCTTCAAGGAGGAATAGTAGTAGTACTTCAAGGCTACCTTTCCTTTAGCACTTCTTATGTTTCAGTTATGATTTTTGTTAACAAGTAAAACTGGATCTGTGGCTAGGATTAAGGCTTTAATATGCATGCTCACTTCCTAAGGTGATGACCATTTATACTATATAAAGACTTATTTTCCATATTAAATATGTAAATGCTTTCAAGGTATTAATTAATCATTTGTAATAATTTCTTTTAAGTACCGGCTGTGTATACTTTTTTCCATTTTATACATGATAAAATTGATGTATAGATAGTGTTTTCCATAGGAGCATAAGTAAAGTAGTAGTAATGTGATGATGATGAAGAAGTTGAAATCATCTATACTGTGATTATTTTGTTAATGTGTATATGTTTTTAGAATGATCAGAACTATTAGCACTGTAGTGATTAGAGTTAAAAGTAAATAAAGTGGGAGTAGTAGGCAAGTGGAGAGATAAAAGTTGAATTTCAGAACTGCAATGTTTATAAGGTACCATGTGACCAAGAATATCTGCATTTACTATTACAGAGACTTACCCTAGATATTCGAGGCAAAGGAAACAAAAGACGTTACTTGTGGCCTGCTTTAGTTGTCTTTCACAAGTAAAATTGGGCATCCCTACTGATGGAAGACATATGGAAGTATTGCACTTGACAGTAGGGTCTCTTGTTCTTTTGCCTGCAGCTTATTAGCAGTTGAAAATGTAGTCATTATTGGAAAATTGACCAATGCCTCCATTACAAACCCTCACACCACACGTGCTTTGCCACTGTTATCCTTCTTACCTCCTAATTCTCATTTTTGCTCTTTTTTAAGTATTCTTTTCTACCCTGTTACCTAACCCATTCATTTATGTTTGTACAATGCTTGTAAAAATTTGAAATTTTAGGAAAAGTTTCCTTCAATTGTGGTATATGATATTCAGAAATATTTATGCTGTATAGCAAATAGCCATCTGGATTGATTTTTCTTAGTGGGAGTTTTGCCCTCCTTTAGCATCATGATTGTCATTATTACCATGTGAATCTTTGGGAAACTCTCTAGGTATATACGTGAAATTCCGACTTTTTAAAAATGTGTTCCATATAATTCTCCTGTTTTTTCCTTGTTATTTTTTTCTTCTTTGAAAATCTCTTACAACTATAGTGCTATCTGAAATATTCTGTTAGACTGGTTCCTTATATATAATAGCTTATGTCTCTTTATTTGGTTTATTACTTGATTTTCTGTGAATTTGTTTTTGCTTATCTATATGAATTTTATATGAATTTCTATATGAATTTCTGTTCCTTCATTTGTCCCCAAATAACATTTATTGAGGGACCAGGAAAATAAAGTACTGTAGGGTTTATATGTGTTTGGTTGTTATCCATAATGTCAGAAAGTTTACATTTATTTCGTTGGAAGACATGATGGATAAGCTATGGATATATACCTACTTACATAAATGTATGTATATTGGATAGTTTACTATTGCTGAATGCTTGTTTCTTACTCTTTCCAGGAAAGAAAGGAGAGACTATCCAAATTGGAGTCTATTCGTCATTCAATTGCTGGAATAATTAGGTCTCCAAAATCTGCACTGGGCTCTTCAGCAGTAAGTAGGATTAACTCTATGTGCTACTGAAAATTGTCACTGTCTAGCTTCTTTCTGATGTACCAATGAATATCATATATCAATTTGTATTTAGAAAAATAAGAGCATAATTTAACTTTTTGTGTGCATATGAATCTGTTATATATATCTATAGTAAAATCCCATGTAACACTGATGTAGGAAAGACAGAAATAAACTTATATTACAGACTTCCTGTACTATATGCAGATAATTATGAGAACCTTATTAGAAGAATAGAATAAATAAATTTCTAGTGAAACCTGACATTTTTATAATAGGGATTACTATATATAGTATACTGATAAAAATATATTGGTTTATCTATATATTCATATTTTTAAGAACATTTTGATTATAAAATTGAAGTCTGATACTAGAATCGATTTAGAACTCAGGAAAATCAGCAAGAAAAAATCAAGCAACCCTATCAAAAAGTGGGCAAAGGACATGAACAGAAACTTTTCAAAAGAAGACAGAATAATGGCCAACAAACATGAAAAAATGCTCAACATCTCTAATCAGGGAAATGCAAATCAAAACTACAATGAGATGTCATTATCTCTAGTGAGAATGGCATTTATCAAAAAGTCCCCAAATAATAAATGTTGGTGTGGATGCAGAGAGATAGGAACACTCCTACACTGCTGGTGGGACTGCAAACTAGTGCAACCTCTGTGGAAAGCAATATGGAGATACCTTAAAGAGATATAAGTGGATCTACCATTTGATCCAGCAATCCCATTACTGGGCACCTATCCAAAAGAACAAAAGACGTTCTATAAAAAAGACATATGCACTTGAATGTGTATAGCAGCACAATTAACAATTGCAAAGATGTGGAAACAACCCAAGTGCCCATCAATACATGAGTGGATTAATAAAATGTGGTATATCCATACCATGGAGTACTATTCAGCTATAAGAAACAATGGTGATATAGCACCTCTTGTATTTTCCTGGGTAGAGCTGGAATCCATTCTAATAAGTGAAGTATCCCAAGAATGGAAAAATAAGCACCACATGTACTCACCAGCAAATTGGTTTCACTGATCAACACCTAAGTGCACATATAGGAATAATATTTATCGGGTGTCGGGCAGATGGGAGGGGGGAGAGGGCATGGGTGTCTACATACATAATCGCATTGTGCACCATTTGGGGGATGGACATGCTTGAATCTCTGACTTGGGAGATAAGGGGAGGGAAGGCAACACAGGTAACCTAAACATTTTTACCCCCATAATATGCTGAAATAAAATAATAAATAAATAAATAAAATTTAAATAAATGAAATAAATAAAAATGAAATAAATGAAATGAAATAAATAAAAAATAAAATTGAAGTCTGAATGATAGATTAATCATTGAAATTTGGGTTTGGTATGTCACAGTAGTGTATAGAATATTATTTAACAGTTATTCCTAGTAATAACAGCTTGATCAAGCAAGATACACTGAACAAATAAGTAGAGGTATTTCTCAAAGGTGTTAGGTATCCTATTTATTTGGAAAAGGAGTTTTTTCCCTTTACATAGGTATTCTTGTGTATATACTCCTAACTACTAATCTAATTTGGGTTCCTGTGGATTTGTCTTTTCTAGACATTGCACATAAATAGAGTCATATAACAAATGGACTGTTATATCTAGTCTCTTTCATTTATTATGTTTTCAAGGTTCATATTGTACCATGTGACAGTACTTCATTCCTTTTGGTGACTGAATAATATTCCTTTGTATGGATTTACCACATATTGTTTATCCATTCATCAGCTAATGGACATTTGGGTTATTTCTACTTTTTGGCTATCAGGAATAATGCTGCTATGAACATTCATGCGCAAGTGTTTACATGATATGTTTTCAGTTCTATTGAGTATATACCTACCACTGGAATTTCTTGGTTGTAACTTTTGAGGAATTACCAAACTCTTCTACAGTAGTTGTACCATTTTACATTCCTGCTAGCAGTGAGTGTTCCAGTTTCTTCATATTCTCACCAAAAGTTTTTATTTTCCATTTTTTTAAATGATAGGCATCCTAGTGGATATGGTGTCTTATTGTAGGTTTTAGTTGCATTTTCCTAATGACTAATGATGTCAACTATTTTTTCATGTTCTTATTGGTCACTTTATTTGTTCTTTGGAGGTATGTCCATTCATATCATTTGTGCATTTTTAAATTGGGTCTTTTTAATTGTTGATTTGTAATAGTTTTTTATATATTCTGGAAAGAAGCCCCTTATACAAATAATTTACAAATGTTTTTTCTTATTCCTTGGATTATCTTTTTACTTTCTTGATAATGTCCTTTGACATACCAAAGTTTTTAATTTTGATGAAGAATAATTTATTTTTTCCTTGATTTCCTATGATTGTGTCATATCTAAAAAAAGTCTAATCCAAGGCCATGCAGATGTTCATCTTTGTCTTCTTCTGAGAGTTTTATAGTTTAGCTCTTACATTTATGACTTCCATTTATTATTTTTTAATTTTTATCTATAGAGTGAGGTAGAGGTCCAAATTCATTCTTTTGCATGTGGAAGCATATTTAATTCATAATCTTAAAAATGAAACAATGAATCACTGTTTCTTTATTAAAATGAGCATACAAAATTAGAACTTTAAAGCATAATTTTAGATAAAGCAAATGCATTATACATATGAAATTAGAATCGATCATAATAGTGTTCATGTTGGACTTGAAATACCTATATTTCTCAATGTTTTTAACATTATGGTTAAAATACAGAGCTCCTTTAAAAGACAGTCTAATGGAACACTTATATAAACAGTCTTGACGGAAAGAAGAACAGGAGATAATTCACTGATTAATTTGTTTTTAACTGAATATTGTGTCTGATGCTGTCAGATATTTAATAGTTATTATGATCAGGGTAATATTTTAATATATCAACTCCAATCATGTGTTGTTATTTTCAGTGTACTTAAGGAATTAAATAACCTATCATTATCCCGGGGCACTGAGATTAGCTACACATCTAGCATCTTCCCTTCTTCAGATGGCTATAATTTTGCATTGAGAACTATCTCGGAGACATCTTGTGACGCCAAAGCAAGAGGTGTTAGACAGGATTAATTGCATATTTTCAAAGCCTAGTGGCAATCATGAAGGTTCATTTCAATCGGAAGTCTTTCAAACCATATTATATTTAATGATCCAGTCATGTCAAGCATACTGTTTTTTCACCAGAGCCATTTTTTTACTGCAGAATTTCTTTAATAAGGAGCTGAGCAAATCATTTGTTCCATTTTACAGCCACTTGTGAATACTAGTTTCATCACTGATGTGTGGAATGTATAATGCCCCTCTAATCATAGCACTCTTTGAAAACTGTTCTTTAAAATCAGAAGAGAGCACATTTTGGTCCAAATAATTTATTTTTTAGATATCAGAAGAATTATTAAATTACTCAAATTCTGTCTCATTAAAATTAATATTTTTCTACACTCTATTGACATAAATAATACATAATTACTTTGTATTATAATTTAGAAAATAAAAATATTGAAAACTAAATATGTGCTTCCCTTTATATAGAATATCATAAATAATATTTGCTTGCTTTTCAGAAACTTATAATTCAGCTATGTTAAATGTATATCAGTTATAATGTCAGTATTGTAATGCTTGGCTTTCACCCTTGGCATAGGGCAATGTATTTAATCTTAATAATTATTTTCAGGCATAACATAAACTGCTTGTAATTTTCAGTGTTCTCTTTTGAGTCTACCAAAGTATAGCCTTGTACTTCCTTTAATAAGGTGTGTTTTTAATTGCAGGTGAAATATACATTTTAAACTTTAGTTATCTTCTATTATTTTTAAAGTCTTAATTTACCTTTTTTTGCCCAGTTATTAAGATGTAAAACAATAATTAACAGGGAAAATAAAGTTTTTACATTATATCACTCTCATACACTAAATTCTCCTGTATAGTTTAGTAATATTTAGGAAAATTGAATATTGTTTTGTGGATTGTAAGTTTTGAATCATTTGCACTGTCACACATAATTTTTAAGAATGGCTTATCAGGATTTATTTTGTATAATTTTTACTATAAGGGAGCAAATCTGTTCTTTTATACGTTTGCTCAAATATTTAAAACAAATGTCACATATTGTGTTAGACTGATACTGAGTTCTACATAGGCAATTCCACCTTAATGATACATATTTAAACTTACTGAAATATGATTATATACTGACTCATTGCAATGATCTGGTAATAGTTGAAATATGTGACATGAAATGAACAATGAATATAATTGATTGATAAAAAACATGTTCTTATTGATATTATGGCACATTTTATATAAAATATATAAGGTTAAAGAAAGAATATTTGATACTTAAAAAATAAAACTGTAGCAAAAATGCAGTGAAATGATGAGAGAGGATAAATGAGAATCATAAGCACAATCCCTAACAGTAAATGGGTTAAAATAATAAAGAGAGAAAAGAAAGTAATTACATAAAGAAAAGATGATGAGCAAGGGAACTAAAGAAGCCAGGAACAAAAAGAGAAGTTAGAGGAAACCAGGGGTTATTGAATGAAGCAGAAGTGTTAGACCAGCAGAAGAAAGATTAAAAAATATATATTTTGTTTAAGATAGCATCCTTATCAGACACCCAAGAAGGTGCACAAAAAGGCAGTCAAGGAAATGGGAAGTTGAGGAAATGATATAATATTTGAATTTGGCTTGGTTGTCTATCGTTGTTTAATAAAGTTTTAGAAAGAATTTTATACAAATGCTAATCTGTGATTAGCATATAATTTTGGATAGTCATGCTGGAGAACAGTTTTATATTTAGCTAAAGACCAAACTGAAATTCTTAAGTGCTGTAGTACAAAAAAATGTTAATTGAAATATTTTTAATAAGAGTTTATTGTTAGTTTCATTGTGGAAAGTAAACATTAGGTAAAGTATCTTTACTTTCATTAATGATATTAGTATGCT